TCTGCACCCACTCTGCAGCCCACCGGTGCGCCCAGCGCTGTGCCCAGCTCCTGCCCCCATTGCTCCTGCCCCCCTCCCCCATTGCACCTGCAGTTCTTCCCTCTGTTCTTCCCTCCTGCCACCGTCAGCTGCCGCTGATCCTGAGCTCTTCTCCTCCTCTCCTTTCCCTGCTATCCTCCTCCCCTTCCTCTGTCGCTCCCTCCTTCTCTCAGTTTCTATCTGCTCTCGTGGACTCTGTTTGCTCCGTCGAGATACAGAACGAACCCTTGAGCAAGGAAGCGCGACAGGTCTTCCAACGCCATCAACATCGGGGTTGAATCGAGCATGGCACATGCTGCATCGAAGATGTATCCTGTAGCAGGAAGATGGTCGGATCATGCCTGGTTTAATACATACGGCGGTAGACAACAACAAGAAATGAAATTTAACAACATGCAGTAGATCGCAAGTTAATGTGACACAAGCTCGGTAGCTATAGAATCCCGTCCTCTTCTTTACACTCCTCCTTCTCCTTCCCCTTCTCCTGCTGCTGCTCCTGATACTAGCAGCTTCTGGACTCCTTGAGGGTGTTGAGACGCTCAGTGATAGACTGTGAGAGTGCGAGAAGCTTCGCCCTGAGACGAGCAGAAGTGAGGACGACGAGAAGAATGAAGCATGAGAAAAGGGAAGGAGGGGGGAAGGAGGCTCACCTGCCCTCAGGCGATTTCTTGATGTGCAAGATCCTCCCCACGCACTGCATGGCGATCTTCTGCCTCCACAGAAGGTTTCTGAAATACAAGATCAGGTCCAAGAGGATCAGACAAGTGAAGGAGGCGGAGAAGAAGACAACTGAAGGTGAAGGAGAAGGAGAAGGAGAAGAGGAGGAGGATTGTCTGGTCTGCAGAGATGACACAAGAAAGAAGAAATAAAAAGGAAAAAAGCCATGACAAGGAGCAACAGGAGGGACAAACGAGTGCAGGGACAAGAGCAAAGGAGAGAGAACTAGCTGCTGGAGTTGGAGGTTGTGGAGGGCAAGAGCAGGAGAGCCTTACTTGAACCCTGCTTGTTCTCTCAGGTGGAGCGTAAGAGGAGGGAGACTGCGCGAGATGGCAGCGTTGTACTGATCCTGAAGTGAAGCAGATGATGAGAGAGCTGTCAACTCAGGTGGAAACTGGAAAGGAGGAAGAGCAGGAGAAGGAGGAGGAGGAGGAGGAGGAGGAGAAGGAGGGAAAGGAAAGATGACGTAGGAGGCAGAAAGGCTGACGGAGCAGAGACGGTGGATGGAGAGGAGGACGCGAATGTCTGACCTCAGTCGCATGCGTGTAGAAGGTTGTCAAACGCACGAGACGTCCCAGGGTATCGTGCTCCCTGATGTGAGTGATGGAGAGCATCTGGAATAAGCGATCAGACAAGCAAGGTAAAGGGGGGAAGGGGGAGAAGACAAGAGGAGGAGAGAACAAGGAAAGGACGAAGTCAAGGAGATGAGGCTCGGACCTCGGATGCATCTGAATGGCTTGTGGAGATCTGAGGAAAGCTGGTGAGATCTTGGTACTGTGCGGACGCAAACAAAGGTAGAGCAGACGAGAGGAGGAGATCAAAGCGAGCAGCATGGGAAAGATGAAGACAAGAAGAGACAGGACAGGACACGACAGGACAGAAAGGACATATACCTTCTCTAGAGTGTTACCGCTCTCTTCCGAGTCCTTCACCTACCGCACACGTCAAGCCTCACAACCTCTTGCTACCATCGCCTTGTTACCGGCTTCATCCAGTTTGAGCCCCTCGAGTGCACCAGGAGGTGAGTTGTAATGGCCTGACGTCTTGAGAGCTAGGGAAAGACGCGTGAGCGATGCTGGCCAAGATTGATGCGATGAGGCAGTGAGCAATGTGAAGGAAGAGCAGCAGCATCAGAAGCAAGAGGAAGGAGTAGGAGTAGCAGCAAACGAAGAGAGGAGGAGGATGAAGGATGGGTATGAGACAGGAGAGAGGAAGGAGAGAGGGAGGAAGATCTTGTAAGCAGCTGACCATATCGTCGACGAGGTAGCAGATGAAGTCGATCTCGCTGTTCTTCCGTCAGTGAGGGGAGAGGAACGAGGAGGAGGATCCTATCACCTGCAGGGGAGAGGGGCGGAGTGACTTCTGAACCTGATGGGTTGCGGTCAGACAGGAGCAGACGAGCAAGAGTGCGTGAGGGAGGGAGGGAGTAGGAAGGGAGGAAGAAAACAGAGAGAGAAACGATTCAAGGGCTAGCATTAACGCAGAAGAGAGGAGGGAAGGAGAAGAAGGATGAAGGGAAGGTGTGCGGGAGGCGAGAGGGAGTGTCGTCACCTGCACATGAGCTCTTCAGTCGTCACCCCAAGAAGCTCCGCCAGCCGGGATCCAAAAATGATCTCCTTCCTCTTCCCGCTCTCTGCTCACGAGCAGGTCAGCAACCCGCAGCTGCTGCCCGTTGCTCGTCCTACCAGCATCCAGCTCTATGCTCATCCAAGTGTCCGTCTGCCGGATCTTGCGAGCCTCGATCGACGCCAGGATGTTCCCTTGCGCCTCCTTCGTTCCCCAGCTGCTAGCACAGCCCTGGCAGGCGGTCGCCACCTCCTTGATCGCCATCAGCAGCGGCCCGCGGGCATCTGCGAAGGCTGCGAGGACAGACTGAAAGATCAAATCAGCTCCTCCTCCTCCTCCTTCTCCTCTTTCCCTCCTCTGTAGATCCATCCTCTTTCCCTCGCCTGCCTGCTGCCTTGCACTTTCGACCTCCCTCCATGCTCTATCCTTGAGCTTATCCTCCCCCTTGTCTCCTTCCTCCTCTCGCGTGCTACCTGAGCGCTGTATCCCATCTCGATGTAGGGGCGCATGAGCGGGCAGTCGAGGAACAAGTCCTCCACCTCCCTCAGCCTTCCCCGTCGGTCATGCACGATCCCCAGGCGCTTGCGCGACACAAACCGATGCTCGGCCTTGAGGAGAGCAGGCTGCGAAGAAGCAGCTCCGAGCTCCTTCCTCAGAGCCTGCTGCAGGGAGTGCATGCAAGACTCCTGCTCCACCCTCGACTTCTTGAGGCACTGCGCGTAGTCGATGCCTTCCTCCTCGCTCGCCCTCCGCTTCTCCAGCAGGCTGCCCTGCTTCTGGTCTTTCCTCTCCTTGAGCATGCTGTTGGCGGCAGCGTTCATGCTCAGGGTCTGGCTCAGGAGCTGCTGCAGAAGGGCCCGCTGCTGCGCAAGCTCCAACGAGTTGCTCAGAACCACTGAGCAGGTCGCTAGCTGGGCAAGAGGACGCACAACAGACGCGGCGGGCGTCTCCGACAAGACGGGGGAAGCATGAGGGTAGGCGTGAAGATCCAGAAGGCTCCTGTCTCGGGAGAGGAGGGGGAGGGAGGGGAGAGCAGAAGCGTTGCCGGAGGACCGGGAGGGGTCAAGCATCATCATCAGGTTGGAGCTCCGGACCAGGTGCTCCAGCGTCGGGAGGATCTCCTGCTTGTACTGGACGCCCGACATGGAAGCAAGCCCGGGAGGTACTGGGGAGGCTTGCAGCATGCAGGAGGAGGAGCGCTGGGAGCAGGAGGCAGCAGCGTTGTGCTGAGCGCCGTCCATGAGCTGCTGGGAGGAGTCCTTGTGCATCTCAGCAGCGATAAGCAAGCTTTCGAGAGGCTGGTAGCGAGCAGGATGGAGGGAGGCAGAGGAGATGCTGCGGGAAGAGTGTGAGAGATGTAGTGCGATAGCGAATGACTCACTCTATAGGGAGCTCGAGGAGGAAGTCGACTTTTGACATTGTGCTATGCCCTTGCAGCCTTGTTTCGCCTGGATCTCAGCGTCAGACGCATGTGATGGTCAACGGAGCACAGATCCAGCGGCAGTGCGCGTGAAGATAGAGCGACGTTGTCTCGCGTCAAGCTTTGTCTTGCTAGACTCGAATTTCGTAACATTCACAATAACCTGCTAACAACTTCCTTCCAATTTGTGTGCGACCATTTCCCTCCGATGTCTTCTCCGCTCTGAGCCTCTTCTTCTCTTTTAAGCCTCTCCTCCTCCTCTTCCTCATCTCTTGCGCGCTCCTTTCTGTCGCTCTCTCCTTAGCGTCTCTCTCGCATGCGGGGAGGGATACTGGGGATTGTCGGGGAGGGGAATAAACTGACTACTAATAGTCCCCGGGGGTTTGGGCCCTACCTGTTGCTGCTCACGGAACTTAAACTTGTAACCCCTCCTCCCCCCTCCTTCCCCCGGAGTCCTTCTATCCCTCCTCCCCCTCCTTCTACCCCTCCTCCCTGGCCTCCTCCCCCTCCTCCCCCCCCTCTTTCTCTCCCTCCTTCCCCTCCCTTTACCCCTCCTTCCCAGCCTCCTCCCCCTCCTTCCCCTCCTTCCCTTCCTTCTGCCCCTCCTCCCCCTTCCCCCCCTTCTTCCCTCAGTTCTTCCAGTGTTCTTCCCTCCTGCCACCGTCGTCTGCTGCTGATCCTGAGCTCTTCTCCTCCACTCCTTTCCCTGCTATCCTCTTCCCCTTCCTCTGTCGCTCCCTCCTTCTCTCAGTCTGTATCCTGCTCTCGTGGACTCTGTTTGCTCCGTCGGGATACAGAACGAACCCTTGAGCAAGGAGGTGCGACAGGTCTTCCAACGCCATCAACATCGGGGTTGATCCCCAGCATTGCACATGCTGCATCCAAGATGTATCCTGTAGCAGGAAGATGGTCGGATCATGCCTGGTTTAATACATACGGCGGTAGACAACAACAAGAAATGAAATTTAACAACATGCAGTAGATCGCAAGTTAATGTGACACAAGCTCGGTAGCTATAGAATCCCGTCCTCTTCTTTACACTCCTCCTTCTCCTTCTCCTGCTGCTGCTCCTGATGCTAGAAGCTTCTGGACTCCTTGAGGGTGTTGAGACGCTCAGTGATAGACTGTGAGAGTGCGAGAAGCTTCGCCCTGAGACAAGCACAAGTAAGGAAGACGAGGAGAATGAAGCATGAGAAGAGGGGAAGAGGGGGGGAAAGAGGCTCACCTGCCCTCAGGCGATTTCTTGATGTGCAAGATCCTTCCCACGCACTGCATGGCGATCTTCTGCCTCCACAGAAGGTTTCTGAAATACAAGATCACGACCAGGAGGAGAAGACAAGTGAAGGGGGAGGAACAGGAGGAAAACGAGGAGGAGGAGGAAGAGAAAAGGAGAAGGAGGATTTGCTTGTTTGCAGAGATGACCCAAGAAAGAAGATATAACAAGACAAAAAGCCATGAGAAGAAGCAACAGGAGGGATAAACGAGTGCAGGGACAAGAGGAAGCGAGAGAAGACTAGCTGCTGAAGTTGGGAGGTGTTGGAGGGCAAGAGCAGGAGAGCCTTACTTGAACCCTGCTTGTTCTCTCAAGTGGAGCGTAAGAGGAGGGAGACTGCGCGAGATGGCAGCGTTGTACTGATCCTGAAGTGAAGCAGATGATGAGAGAGCTGTCAACTCAGGTGGAAGATGGGAAGGAGGAAGAGGAGAAGGTTCAGGAGGAGGAGGAGGAGGAGACGAAAGCGAAGAAGGAGGGAAAGGAAAGATAACGTAGGAAGCAGACAGGCTGACGGAGCAGAGACGGTGGATGGAGAGGAGGACGCGAATGTCTGACCTCAGTCGCATGCGTGTAGAAGGTTGTCAAACGCACGAGACGTCCCAGGGTATCGTGCTCCCTGATGTGAGTGATGGAGAGCATCTGGAGTAAGCGATCAGCGAATGGGACAAGATATGGAAGAAGGGGGCCAGACAAGGAAGGGGAAGGGGGGAGAAGAGCAGAGGAGGAGAGAACAAGGAAAGGACGAAGTCAAGGAGATGAGGCTCGGACCTCGGATGCATCTGAATGGCTTGTGGAGATCTGAGGAAAGCTGGTGAGATCTTGGTACTCTGCAGACGCAAACAAAGATAGAGCAGACGAGAGGAGGAGAGCAAAGCGAGCAGCATGGAAAAGATGAAGACAAGAAGAGACAGGACAGGACAGGTGAGAGGAAACGACAGGACAGAATGGACATGTACCTTCTCTAGAGTGTTACCGCTCTCTTCCGAGTCCTTCACCTACCGCACACGTCAAGCCTCACGACCTCTTGCTACCATCGCCTTCTTACCGGCTTCATCCAGTTTGAGCCCCTCGAGTGCACCAGGAGGTGAGTTGTAATGGCCTGACGTCTTGACAGCTAGAGGAAGACGCGTGAGCGATGCTAGTCAAGATGGATGCGATGAGGCAGTGAGCAAAGTAAAGGAAGAGGGGCAGCAGCAGAAGCAAGAGGAAGGAGTAAGAGCAGCAGCAAACGAAGAGAGAAGGAGGATGAAGGATGGGTATGACCAAGCAGAGCGAGAGGAGGGAGGAAGGAGAGAGGGAGGAGGAGCTTGTAAGTAGCTGACCATATCGTCGACGAGGTAGCAGATGAAGTCGATCTCGCTGTTCTCCCGTCAGTGAGGGGAGAGGGACCAGCAGAAGGATCCTATCACCTGCAGGGGAGAGGGGCGGAGTGACTTCTGAACCTGATGGGTTGCGGTCAGACAGGAGAAGCGTAGAGGAATGCGTTAGGACGTGAGGGAGGAGACAGGGAAAAGACAGGGAAAGAAACGATGCAAGGGCTAAACCAAACGGAGGAAAGAGAAGGGAAGAAGAAGATGAATGAAGGGAAGGTGTGCGGGAAACGAGAGGGGGTGTTGTCACCTGCACATGAGCTCTTCAGTCGTCACCCCAAGAAGCTCCGCCAGCCGGGATCCAAACATGATCTCTTTCCTCTTCCCGCTCTCTGCTCACGAGCAGGTCAGCAACCCGCAGCTGCTGCCCGTTGCTCGTCCTACCAGCATCCAGCTCTATGCTCATCCAAGTATCCGTCTGCCGGATCTTGCGAGCCTCGATCGACGCCAGGATGTTCCCTTGCGCCTCCTTCGTTCCCCAGCTACCAGCACAGCCCTGGCAGGCGGTCGCCACCTCCTTGATCGCCATCAGCAGCGGCCCGCGGGCGTCTGCGAAGGCTGCGAGGACAGACTGAAAGATCAAATCAGCTCCTCCTCCTCCTCCTCCTCCTCCTCCTTCTCCTCTTTCCCTCCTCTTTTGATCCTTGCTCTTCCCCGCGGCTGCCTCCTTCCTCGAACTTTCGATCTTCCTCCATTCTCTATCCTTGAGCTCATCTTGTCCCCTTGTCTCCTTCCTCCTCTCGCGTGCTACCTGAGCGCTGTATCCCATCTCGATGTAGGGGCGCATGAGCGGGCAGTCGAGGAACAAGTCCTCCACCTCCCTCAGCCTCCCCCGTCGGTCATGCACGATCCCCAGGCGCTTGCGCGACACAAACCGATGCTCGGCCTTGAGGAGAGCAGGCTGCGAAGAAGCAGCTCCGAGCTCCTTCCTCAGAGCCTGCTGCAGGGAGTGCATGCAAGACTCCTGCTCCACCCTCGACTTCTTGAGGCACTGCGCGTAGTCGATGCCTTCCTCCTCGCTCGCCCTCCGCTTCTCCAGCAGGCTGCCATGCTGCGGGTCTTTCCTCTCCTTGAGCATGCTGTTGGCGGCAGCGTTCATGCTCAGGGTCTGGCTCAGGAGCTGCTGCAGAAGGGCCCGCTGCTGCGCAAGCTCCAACGAGTTGCTCAGAACCACTGAGCAGGTCGCTAGCTGGGCAAGAGGACGCACAACAGACGCGGCGGGCGTCTCCGACAAGACGGGGGAAGCATGAGGGTAGGCGTGAAGATCCAGAAGGCTCCTGTCTCGGGGGAGGAGGGGGAGGGAGGGGAGAGCAGAAGCGTTGCCGGAGGACCGGGAGGGGTCAAGCATCATCATCAGGTTGGAGCTCCGGACCAAGTGCTCCAGAGTCGGGAGGATCTCCTGCTTGTACTGGACGCCCGACATGGAAGCAAGCCCGGGAGGTACTGGGGAGGCTTGCAGCATGCAGGAGGAGGAGCGCTGGGAGCAGGAGGCAGCAGCGTTGTGCTGAGCGCCGTCCATGAGCTGCTGGGAGGAGTCCTTGTGCATCTCAGCAGCGATAAGCAAGCTCTCGAGAGGCTGGTAGCGAGCAGGATGGAGGGAGGCAGAGGAGATGCTGCGGGAAGAGTGTGAGAGATATAGTGCGATAGCGGATGACTCACTCTATAGGGAGCTCGAGGAGGAAGTCGACTTTTGACATTGTGCTATGCCCTTGCAGCCTTGTTTCACCTGGATCTCAGCGTCAGACGCATGTGATGGTCAACGGAGCACAGATCCGGCCAGCGGCAGTGCGCGTGAAGATAGAGCGACGTTGTCTCGCGTCAAGCTTTGTCTTGCTAGACTCGAATTTCGTAACATTCACAATAACCTGCTAACAACTTCCCTCTCAACGTGTTTGCTGACCCTTCCCTCCGATCTCTTCTCCGCTCTGAGCCTCTCCTCCTCCTCTTCCTCATCTCCGGCGCGCTGCTTCCTGTCGCTCTCTCCTTAGCGTCTCTCTCGCATGCGGGGAGGGATACTGGGGACTGTCGGGGAGGGGAATATCACAGGCATGCTTTCAATCCCCGGGGGTGTAGTGTTGACCCCACTTGTACCCCATTGTATTTTTTCAGTACCGGTATAATTACCTGTCAATCGTCGTTTTTTGGGGGTCCTTGTGTGTAAATCGAGGAATATTGATGTTTTAGGGAGGGGGTAGGGGTGGGGTCAACGCAAATGCTACGGATCCCTCGGGGGAGTGTGCCATCCTCAGAGCTCACTTGTCTAATACATTCCGACACGGTACCAAACGTCCACATCAAGGGGGGTGGGGGTAGTCGAATTTACCCCCCTCTTTTCTGAAGATATTCCCCACATACGGGGGGTCAAGGTGACAGTTTGACAGGCTACAGAGGGGGTACGGTGGTATTGACTGACCAGGCTGGTCATTCCGGGGAATGTCAGACGAGGAACGCGAGAAGATCCTTGAGTGCCAGTACACTACTTGAAGGACAGTTGCAGGCCCGCCTCATTGCCTGTACTACCGTATCTTACTCTGATTTTTAACTTAACTTGACTTTGAGTAAAGACCGTCCGACTGAAGGCTTACGGGACTCCCGGCTCCCCGGGCCCGGCGGGACTCGAGCGGCGGTCCGATCAGGCCCAGCGGCACGCCCGGCCGGGACCCGGTCGAGAACCGGTCGGACTAACTTAACTTTGAGTAATTGATCAATGAAAGCCGCCGCCGCTGTGAGCCGGCCCCCGGGGAGTCAGGGCCCGCCGCGCGGGGCGGCCGCCGCACAGGCTGCCGGCCGGCGGGTGCGGCCCCCCCGGCAGCCCCCCGGCCCCGGGCGGCCCGGGGGCCAGCGGCCGGCCGGCGGCCCCGGCTGGCAGTGCCACTGCCTTGGAGCCACGGTGGCTCCGAGGCTTCGAGCCTGCCAGTGCCCCGCCTCCCGCCGTAACCTGTGAAGCCGGCGACTCAGCCTGGCCGCCTCCGAGTCGCTGAGCCGGGCCGCAATCGGACGGGGGCCGCCGGGCCGCTCGGCTCGGACCGTACTCGGCCGAGGCTTGGCCGTCGGAGGCTTGCCGCCGTCCGATCGGAGGCCCGGTCACGCCCCGCGCAGTGCGTGAAGTAAGTTAAAAATCTTCCTTTAGTAAGTTACACAAAGTGAAGTTAAAAATCAGTACGCCGTGACGAGGACAATCAGGAGAGTCGTCGGAGGAGGCTTGACCCTGACACTGTCGCAAGAATCCGACAGTACCAGGACAATCAGGGGAGTCGAGGAGTTCATCCGACGTCGTGGCAGGCTACGGAGTACGGTACGGTACGGTATGCATAGCTCTCGGAGATGACTGACGTCAGGTCGAAAGTTTTCCGAGCCGAACTTTCGGGTGACATAGTCCTTGCTCGACTGAGTCAGTGACATTAAACTTTTTAATACAAATCTTGTTACAAATTTCTAACCACTGGAAAGTGTTTCTACAAATCAATAAAGTAAAACCAACTCTTCAACTTTCAAGGCAAGCATCGGGAGTCAACACTGCGGCTTCAGAGATTGATTCACAAAACCACGGCCAGTGATCCGGAACCGATCTTTGCAAAGAAGGAAAACCAAACAAGGACCAACGCCATGACGCAAAGAATTGTAAGATTTTGTGCAAATCCAATCAACTGGGAATCTATGGTTCCATTCAAACAGTTTTCGGTGTGCGATGTCTTGCTGTAGTCGAGCAGTTGGAAATCAACACAGCAACTGTTCTGTTCAGAACCCCGCTGCACATCACAGCATGAACGCTTATCACAGCAATTATCAGCCCCATTTGCGACATCCGTGGAAGAGCCAAATTCCCACTTCGCCTCGCACACGTTGGCAATGCTCGACGTCCTTCGGCATATCCCCTTATCCTCTCGCATGTACAGCAGCACTCCGCATAGCCTCCCCCGGCTCCCCGAGTATAGCGCCACCGGATAAACCTTCACCCTCGACCTCCCTACCCACACCGTCTCCCAGGTCGCCTCCTCCGCTCCCTCCTCCTCCCTCAGCCGCCTCCGGCACACCTCTGCCAGCCTCTCTCCGTCACCCTTTTCCTCCGTCAGCTCCGTCACGCTCCCATTCAGCTCCCCTTCTCGCCCAACACATCTTAGCGCCTCCTGGTTGTACCCCAGGATCGTCAGCCCCGCGTCCGCCCCCACCAGTACCACTGCCTCCCGCGTCTCCAGCATCCCCCGCTCGAACTCCTCCGCACGCGTCCTCCTAAACCCAAGCACGCACCCCACAGGGTCCCCGTCCTCCATGTCCCCCCCCACCGGCCTGCAGGATACCCGGAACGACCCCTGCTGCCCCAGCCTCACGTACCCCTCCCGCGCGTACCCCATGCTGCCCTCCTTGACCAGCCGATGCAGCACGGGCAGGTCGGGGAGCAGGTCGCTCAGGCTGTGCCCGACGACGTCTGAGTCGAGCTTAAAGCCGAAGAGCGAGATCCACTGAGGGCTGGCGAGGAGGATGCGACTGCGAGCACGAACGTCCACAACGATGGAGGCATCGGAGAGGAGATTGGCAGGTATGGTAGATCTGTTCTTGTTGAAAAGCTTCATCTCCTTTGTACCCTGACGTGTTCTTGTCGCAGGCAGCTTGTCTTGCCACCAAGAAAGCACTTTTGTTGAGATAGAGCCGCAGAGAGCACTCAAAGAAGCGCTGGGATCGGTAACAAGAGAATATGGAAGGACTGCGGCGGCAGAAGACTTAGGGAGGAAGGAGGCAGATGACGATGGGGCACCAGGGGTTTTAAGTAATAACCTCCTGCAGTCTGTACATACTATTTCAGTGGGTGGGGTACTCCTACTACCTGGTTCTTGAACACATTCTTGGTAGTATATATATGGGTGGGGTACAATCGGTTTCATTTCGACCCCAGCTCCGAAGGCCAACATCACTGCCGTGACTGAACCTGGACCCCTACCCCGTTATTTTCCATGGTTATCACCCTACCCACCACGAATTCTGGACTCTTCCATAACTACAAGGACCCCTCCATTCCCGTTGTGGACCCCGTCGCAATGGGTTTGCCCATGACTCCTCACTACCCTACCCTATATTTCCTGTGTTTCTCAGACCTATATCACCCCTCCTCTTGAGAAAGAGACATGTCTGTTTTAGTACCCCCTTTCTAGTCGGAGAAACGACCCGTATGTCTGACCTTCAGACCCCAATTTCGTTTTTTTTTTTGGTTGTTTCTCCGTCCGGTCCTCCTGCCGGCTGCGATGCCCTGCATTGGTTCTACCCCTCCTTACCCCTGCTCTAGACCCCACCCCCATATTGGGATAAGAGGGCAGTTTGTTTCGAGCATACAATGGACCACTTTGCCGAAATTCCATACTACCCCTACTTTACCTTTCAACTACCGGTCAATGACCGCTATGTTCAATCAACTTTCTGTGTAGTAAAGTGAGTTTGTCTGTCAGCAGCTGACAGTCAAGTCATCCACCCCCCGGCACGGCACGGCTCATTCGGGACGGCATTTGCAAGGCGTCACGGCTCGGTTGCCGTCCACACCGGAAGAGGCAGCAGAGCTTCTATCATTTGAGTAAATTACAGTATGTGAATATGAAGTTGAGTAAAGAAACATATGCGCCCTTGCAGCAAGAGGAGGCAGTGACCGTTACTACCAATAAACAAGCGCTGCCGTGCCAGAAATGAGTAAGTAAAGAAATAAGTCAATATTTGTACTGCAGGGTGATCTCATTCTTCCTTTTTTTTTCCTGCGGGGGGCTCTCCTCGCACCTCTTCGGACCGACCATGAATATTTACTCAACTAGGGAAAAGACCAGCTGCTTCCCAGTGGCTGATTTACAGCTCGCCTCAGCTCCATGTAGGGAACTAACACAAGGCAGCAATGCACACCTACACTGCTGCCTAGTAAACCTTTTTCCTCGTACTGATCTTTAACTTAACCTTGAGTAAAAAAACTTTGTCAACAACAAGCGTGTGCAGCGGCTTTAGCCGGGCCGGGCCCTGTCGGCCCGCCGCAGAGAATCGCCGGACGGCACAGGCCCGGCCCGGGCCCTAAGCTGAAACTGGCCGATACCCCGTGGCAGACTCAGAGTTTTACTGAGATATTGGCAGGCTAAATTAGACCCACCCCACCGTGAATCGGGATCATACTACGGGTACTAAGGTGTAATCCCCCATTGTGTGGAATGCGGCCTCGAACGGTGGAGGCGGCGGGAGCGGGAAAGGGTATCTGCATGCGGAGGAACGAGGAGAGCAGGTGAACGAAGGTCAGGGCAAGAGCGATATCAGAGGATAGCAGGATGATCGGAGGAGACAGTGCGCTGTGAGGGTCAAGGAGGAGTAAACTGCGTGCTATTAAGGATCCACTAGGCGGAATAGACTGCGGGAGGTACAATCACAGTCCAGGGAGGAGGGCCGGAGACGAGCATCGTAGGAAAGGGTCCAGAGGGAGGATTCGTTGCGGATAGCTGACGTCCAATCGCTACTGTGCACGGCATCGCTCCAACAAGCACGCAGTGAGGCAGCGCAGGGCCGATCGCTGCTCTAGGGCACAGTTGCGTTACAGGAACATCAGCATGCCTGGGATGATCTCCTTTGCTCTGCTGTGGAGCATGGTAATGAGTGTTGGACACGTTCACGCCTTCACTCTGATCCCGGGGCCTCATTGCCTGAGCAAACGGTGTGCTGACTTGCCATTGGGACAAATTGGGAGGTCAAAGATACCATTTCAACGTCCCAGGTTCCTTGCCGCAGGGAGGGTGCCATGCTCAGATGTTGCTGCAGGGGGAGGTGGAGTGATGGACCGAAGCGCTTCTCCTCTCTCAACATGAACTTGTTCGGTTCCGAGACCATCACGACCAAGAAGGGAGACAGGTGGGAGAAGTCTTGATTAACAATGCAGAGGATTTCGTTGGTGACATGTGGATTAGAGCGTACATCGTTGGTGCTGACATCAAGAGGAATAGGTGAGATGTTTGTCTTCTCAACATCTCTGCCCTAAGTGCTCACAGATACAAGACGTTGGAGTCGTCATGGGAGGTAGACGATTCCTTGGATGAGCTTCAACGATTGTGCGAGACGGCAGGTTTGTCAGCCTTGTAGAGCTGCTCTTGTGTTGATTGCATGACGGCGTCTTGTTTCCCTGTGCCCCTCCTCCTCTCGTCTTTCTCTTTCTACTGTGTTCTTCTCGTCGTTCTCTTTCTACTATGTTCTTCTCGTCTTTCTCTTTCTGCTGTGTTGTCTTTCCTGCCCTTGTCCTCTTCTTCTCTCGGTGGCTATCTCGTCCCCTCTTGTGTTCAGCTCTGCTTCCTGCTGTAATCATTCTGTTGCCTGTGCTCGATGGTGGTCTGCTCAGTGCAAACTCTTTCCAGGGCTGGTCGTGTTAGGAAGGGAGTTCCAATCGATGCAGGTCAAGAGGAAGGAGGTCTATTGTGCTCCTGTTTGTGATGCTGTATGATAGAACCCGAGTCCTTCTACATTCATCGGGGCAGGAAAGGTATGGAAGGACGTCGGGAACAAGCAGGATCAAGTGATGGATCCTCGTTACCCGCCAGGTTGAGGCTCTCGCCAAGACAGTGAAGACGCTCGAGATCGACGTGGTGAAGTTTGCACTGACTGCTGCTCATTCCGTAACCTGTTGGCTGATCGACCTGTTGGTGCAGGTTGTGTTCGATGATGAGCTCTCCCCTGCGCAAGGCAGGAACATCCAAACTATTCTGGGAGAGGACGTTCGGGTGAGGAGAGGAGGGGAGGGAGGAGGGGAGGAGAGGGGAGGGAAGGGGAGGGGTGGAAGCGGGGAGGGGAGGGGAGAGGAGAGGCAGGGTAGGGCACTGGAGCAGAGCAGAGCAGACAGAGGAAGGAGGATGAAGGTATCCGTTCCTCAAGGTCTTGCAGGTTCTTGACAGGACCATGCTTATCCTTCAAATCTTTGCACAGCGAGCAAGGACCAGGGAGGCAAAGCTTCAGGTCTTTCCTCCTCCTCCTCTTCCTCACGCACACAGAAAGGAGCCTCTTCCTCCTCTCCCCCCTCCTCTGCCTTCTCCTCCAACTCTATCTTCTGCCATCCAATCTTCTTTTGGTTTACGATGGTACATGTTTCCTGCCCATGGCTCCCCTCAAAATTCATTTTCCCTCACTTCTTCTCCCTTTCTTCCTTCCCCTCCTCTTTTCATACCTACCGACTTCATCTTCACCCTTGTCTCGCTTCTCCTTTCTGCCTCCTACTTGGACCTGTTCACTCCGTTCAAACTCTGTGCAGGTGCAAGCTGCGCAGATGAAATACATGATGCCTCGACTGCAAGTATGCCTCTTTCGTTTCTTGCCCTCCCCTGCTTTCTTCTTCCTCCTCTCCTCTCCTCGCAAGCTCATCTCTTGTTCCCTCTTCTCTCCTGCAGTACTTCATGACGGAGGGAGCCGGCATGGAGGCGCGAGGAGGTGAAGGCTTCCTGCAGGGAGAGCTCAACTAAACCTTAGCAGGAGGAGGAGGAGGAGGGAAAAACCTCAAGGGCATGGGTGAATCGCAGATTGAAGCAGACAAGCGATTGTTCCGCAAGCAGGTGGGAGAGGAGGAGGACGAGGCGGAGGTCTGAGGGGATGGGGATGATGGTGTTTTGCAGCTGCAAAACGTGGAGAAAGAGATGGAAGAAGTCAAGCAGCAGGTTGATGATTGAACTGAATGTAAATGTGGGTGTGGGTGTGGGTGCAGATGAAGAGATTGTGAATGGTAATGTGGGCATTGATGTGTATGTTTTGGTAAATGTTTATGTTGTAATTTTGATGTGCATGGCGATGTATATGTTGATGTTGATCATGGTTGTTGTGAAAATGGTTCTTTCGCAGCGGGAGGTGTACAGAACAAAGAGGAGGGAGAGGGATAATTTACCCATCATAGCCATCGTTGGATACACGAATGCCGGTAAGCCTGAGCAGCAAAGAGAGGCCTGACAGATGAAGGATTGACAAGATGAGAATGATTGTATTTGTTCATTACTTTAGAATGGATGAGAGAGGATTGAGCTGGAAAAAAAACACACGTGATGGACAAAATGAGTGGCATACGGGAGAGAAATCGTTAACAGCACGCAGTTGCCGTGTTTCTTATCAATGTGTATGGTATTTGTGCAAACATTTTTTTGTGGTTGTTTTCTTGGAGTATGACGTCGTTTGCCAGGCAAATCGACGATGCTCAACAAACTGTGTGGATCTGAAGAGGTAAAACTTCATGTGGAAGGGAAGGGAGGACGAGGAAGACGAGAATGGGTCTGTAGGGAGCTGTCATCTCCTTTGCCCTGCCCTGCCCTGCCCTGCTCTGCTGATCTTCACCTCCACTTGCTGAGGTGAATAGAGCAGAGCACAGCAGTGCAAAGGAGGTGATAGTGAGAGGGACTAGGAGGATGATGACGAGGAGGGAGAGGAGGGATAGGAGTGATGAAGACGAGGATATGAGGAGGAGGGTGTCGGTGGTTATGGTCTTGTTGGTGGTGATAACGGTCAATAACTGCTTCTTCGCCTTCAGGTTTATGCCGACGACCTTCTCTTCGCCACACTTGATCCGACGACGAGAAAACTCCGGTAAGACTCCAGGGGGAGGAGAGGAAGGGGAGTGGGAGGAAGAGGAGGAAGAGGGGAACATGGGGGCGGGGGGGGCGCAGCGGCAGCGGCAGCAGAAGAAGAAGGAGAAGGAGGAGAGAAGGAGAAGGAGGAGGAGATGGAGAAGGGACAGAGGCAGCGGCAGGGCGGGGGAAGGAGCAAGGAAAAATCTTTTCAAGCGAGATGGTGGAAGTGTACGGGAACAGAGATATAGGAAGATCAAGTAGTCGAAGTACGCAAAGGTC